TATGTGCCCTCCACCCTTGTAACTTCCTCCCAAAATAAAATAAAAAATAAAATAAAAAACATCTTTCTGACCCCTCTTCATAACGACCTGTTTCTCTATCAATTCCAGCCTTTTCTCATCCCAGTCACAGCGGTTGCATCTCCTGTTCTGCAGTGATGTACCACTCTGCTCCTCTGTCTTTCTTACATCTCCATCACATATTCCTTCTTCATAGTGGCATTGGAAGCTGCAGTGTGTCAGGCAGTATTCTAAGGGAGAGACAGGAAGAAGGAGGGGACACCCAAGGAGCAATCTGTAATGAGACGCAGGTAAAGCCACTGAACATGTGATACTTAGATGAATAGTTATGGGGTGATTTAAGATATAAGAGCTAGCTAGAAAAAAACTTGAGCCATGGCCATGCAGTTATAATTAATATAAGCCTCTGTGTATTTACTTGGGGGATGTGATTGGGAGAGATTTGTACCGACCGCCGGCAGGCCAGGACACGGGAAATCTTCCAACTGCATATTTGTCCATCATAGTGCCACCTAATGCCTTGGGGTCACAGATTTCACTATTTAAAAAGGGACAGTACCTTTATGTAAATGACCTGTGCATTGGAACCAATATAGTACTTGGTATTGGAACAAACCATTGTGAAACTAGCATGGTTGTCTTGATTGACAGGCTACACTAAAGTACAAGTCTATACACCTCAGTAATCTTACTGGATCATAGCTGCAAAGATCCATTTGTTGCTCATGTTTGTAGGTGTAGGCTGGGAGTGACTTATCCTCTCACATCTACCCTGAAGGAGGGACCTTATAGCCAGCATGTCACCTTAGAACAGAAGGAAAGGAACAGTGAATAAACTCACAATGACTCAGCTTCTCAAGAGTGACCTGCTTCTCTGTCCACATGTTCTTTTGGCCAAAGCAAGTAGTGTGGATCAGCCTGACAGCAGCAGGTGGAAAGTTTTTTTGTCTAGAGAGAAATAATACAAGTTCTGTGTCCATGGTCTGATATGTTGGTGGCTCTACCTGGAAGGCAGCAAGTAATGTGCTTTAGGTAACCTGGTGTAGTTTCCAGGAGACAATGGCATACCTATAAATGAACACAAAGCGTGCTAACTGTGGATAACATGATAGTAGAGACAGCAGAAGGCTGAGGCCTATATGCTAAGTAGCACAGCGTGTGTTGTCAGGACAGAAGTAAGCTGATCGATTGTAGAATAGCAGAAATATAACTCAGAGAACTAACTTCACATATAAACTTGGTGTGGTCTATGGGGAAACGTGATGACCTCTTTTGTCAATGATGCAATGCTGGAGGTGAAGGGAGCTGGGGTCTCATCAGAACCTCTCAACTGCTGCTCCAATTTTCAGGTGGCATCCAAGGGCACTTTCCAGTGTTGACTGTGACTGTTGGCTTCCTTTCTACCCTTGCATGGTGGTGGGCATGGATTGCCTCTCATCTTCAGGGTAGCTCTTACCTGACCAATCAGCAGATTCCTCTCTGATTCAGTGCCGGAACTATTCTTTCCTAAGGAGGCCTCAGGCCCTCCAGTTTTATTCTGTGCTCACATATTTTTGAATAATGGTATCCTTCATTCATAGTTAATACTCGTTACTATTGTTTACTTTTATCTTTATTGTTTTGAGAATTCTCTCATTTCTGGGCTAGCCTGGAACGTCCCACATTCCTGAAGATAAGCTTAAGATTTTGATCTTCTTGCTTCCACCTCCCCAGTGCTGTGACTGTAGGTTGGGCCACTATACCTGGGTTGTTGTTTTTCCTTCTCTAATAACGTCCTCTGTATTTTAAAAGTTTTCACTTGGGTAAAATACAATTAATGCATTTTTTTTTTTTTTGGAGAAAGAATTACCCTGGGTATCCCTGGCTGTTTGGGAACTCACTATATAGACCAACTGGCTTCAACCTGACAGAGGTCCTCCAGCCTCTGTCCAAGGAGTGCTGGGATTAAAGGCATATTCCACACCACCTGGCCAAGCACTTTTTATCTCTTGTCATTTTGCAGTAGACTTAAGAAATTGTTCCTTGATTCCATATCATCAAAATCTACTCCTGTGTTTTGTTTTTAAAGTTTCTTTTAGGTTTCGATCCATTCTGAATTAATTTTGTGAATGGTATGTGGCAAAGGCCCAATTACATTCTTTTTAACGTGGATATCCATGTGCCTCATCCACATTTTTGGAAAATATTATCCTTTCCCCATTGAACATTCTTTATGCTCCTGACTAAAATAGTCAATACGTATTAGTGCTTGTGTCTAGAGTGACAATCCTAGCCTATTAAATTCCATGTCAATCTCTGTCCAGTATCATCCTTTTTAGGTTTTCTATGGCTTTGCGGATGATTTCAAAAGTGTAAAACATTAGTTCTTACACATTGTCCTTCTTTCAAGGTTGTTTGGCCTTCTCTTAGTTGCTGGTTTATTGCTGTGGAGAGACACTGTGACCACAGCAACTCTTATAAAGCGAAGCATGTAGTGGGGGTATGCTAACAGTGTCTGAGGTTTGGCCCATCATTTACCATCCTGACATGAGTATAGTAGCATGCATGTCATGGAGCAGTAGCTGAGCGTTGCATCCTGATCCTCTGACAGAGAGACACCCCACTTAGCATGGGCTTTTGAGACTCAAATCCCACCTCCATTGACATTGTTACTATAATAAGGCCACACCTCCTAATCCTTCTAATCCTTCCAAAGAGTTCTACTGTCTGATGACTAAGCATTCAAATATATGAGCCCATGGGCCATTCTTATTCAGACCACCAGAGGCCTCTTCTGGTACCCTTGCACTTTCCATTGAACTCAAGGATTCGTTTGGCAATTTCAACAGAGTGACTGCTAGGATCATGCTAGAGGCACATTGAGTCTGTGTATCTGTTTAGGATGCACTGACTGACATCTTAACGATATAGTCTTCTATTACATGAACCACAGCTTCAATGACCATGTGAACTCAATCACCTGCCATATATATGTATATATGCATATTTATCAGATATTTAGATACATATACAAAATATATTTCAATGGATAAAAATGCTTTTGTTTTCTTTTATCATTTTTTCCATTGGTGCCCATAATTAAATCAGCACCCCTGTAGTGGGTTGAAAGCTGCCATCGTCAAATATCAGTGTGCACCCACAGATATCTCTAGTAGTCCATGAAGGCACAAGCAGTTACACAAACAAGTGGCCCATGTGCTGTACTCCTGCTACATCCCTTTCCCAGCCTGAGCCTGTGGTCCCTATGGGCAATTCCCTATGGTGAATTGAAGAGGAAGAACGAACTTATTCTGGTTACACATGGTTTTAAATGAAATGCCTGCCCCACCTGAAAGTGGACAGTGGAGCACTGTGTGCTGTTTCTGGATATCCCTGAAGACAGTGGTCAGGAGAAACCCTTTCAAGGGACAGAATGCTGACCATGGAATTTGGTCATTCCTTTAATTTGGAAGAAGAAATGTCTTCCAGGTAAGAGTCTATATTGATGAGTACATTGTGGCTCATGGGCTGGTTATATGGTCACGAACATCCATGGAATATAATTGTAAAATAGTGTAGAGTGAGTGTGGAGAAATCTGTGGGTAGCCTTTTTACAAATGAGAAAGATTGTTAGAGATGTTTCTGTCTCATGTGAATTCTCATCAAAGGTGTCCTAAACAGGAAAGGGTATGAAGATCTGAGTGGATGGGATGACATTCTCTGGAGACACCTGTTAGGCCCTTTCCATGGCCACATCCTCTCACTGCTTGTCATGGTCATTTTTACTTCCTTCTCGAGACATAAAACCAGAAAACATTTTGAAATACTCATCTAACTAAATAAGCCAATTCTCACATGGTCCATTAATGAAGCATTGTCAGTTGGGGGCCAATTAAGGAGTCCCAGGTTGTACAAGCTGTGGATCTGCTGACTTCTCTTCTTGAAGCTCATATTCCTCTCCTTTATGGTCCTTCTGGTTCAGAATGAAATATCTAGAGTTTGACTTTTCCTTCATGTTGATCTCTGGAGTGGTCTCATGACCATTGTGGAACTCTAAGCAGCAGGAGAGTTTTTGACTAAAGCAGAGGTACAGCCATTAGCTTGAACTCACACAATTAAGCATGTGATAGACATAACACATTCAGCCTCACCCAAGAGGCAAGTGGACAGGGCCTGGAGTTAGATCTGCCCTTAATTAAATGGGTGAATTTTGTCAAATCACTCATGTCTTCTGGGTCATTGTTCAATATCTGTGCAACTGCCATTTAGGACCATGCTTGGGAATCTCTGCATGCTGCAGTCATTTAAAACACCAGAGTGTGCTGTTCTTGGGGCAGCCATGAGGCTCTGTTATGTCTGCCTACCTTTTTGAGTCCTCACTCACAAAGGTGTAAGATCCACCCCCAACATTTTTTCATTTTATTTTCTTTTCCCTCTGGTCTGTCTTTTTCTTTTACCAGATCCCAAATATGCTTTCTAGGAGACTTTGGGCTTTCTCACCTTTGCCAACTTCTGTCCCCATCCTGTGACTGCTTTTCTGCCATGTTGCTGACATCCACATCTAACTCAAATGGTGTGTGTCTCTCTCCCTCTTGAGCCTCTCCCTATGAATCTGTAATAAAATATCCAGGACTAAAAAAAACAGAGGCAGGGTGGCTGTGTTATTCTGTATGTGACACTCAGTGGGTTCTGTCTGCTCCTCTCTGAACCTGTCTCCTTGTCTATCCTGGTGGAGAAGAACCTCTGCCTGGACTCCACTGCCTCTGCAGAGCTGATGAGGACCAAGAGCAGGAGTGGGAAGAGTTGGGGTCAGAGCTGTGGGACAAGGCTGAGTAACAGCACTGCAGGGGTCAGGGCTGTGTCAAGTGCTTCTGATTGGTGCTGATGGCCAATTACTAAGGTGCAAGTCCACCCATCATGGCAGTGTCATGGTGGCAACACAGGCCTCTGAACAGCAGTTGAGATCACGTGTCATTGTTCAGTGTTTCCAGCAGCAAAGGCGCCACAGTGAACAACTGCTGGAGCACAGGACACAGGACAATGCAGGTGCTCACCAGGCTGTGCAGAGTTCAGAGCCTGTGTTGCGTCACTTTTATTAGTGCTGTGACTCAAACTCTAGCCTTGAGCATTCTATTTACTCGGGTGCTATACAGCTGAGTCACATTCCTAGACACTCTGCCCTTGTTTCCTGTACAATTTATTTAGTTGTCATTTTATAATGAACTGTTACTGTTGGCTGTGTTTAAGGAGCAGCTCACATGAATTCTAACCCTTTATCAATCAATCTCTCTAACCAGGAAGACTATAGTCTAGCATTCTCCTTCAGAATCTTTAGGAATCCAAGACACAGACAGAAGGTGGAGAGATTCCAGGTCATGGAACACTGGCCAGAACATGTGGCAGGGTGCTGACATCATCACATTTATCTTTTAGCTATTCTAGAAGCAAAGAGATTACTATTGGAATTCTACAGAGGAGGCAACTGATGCAGAAAAACAGAAAACTCAAGAGAACATGTTCCAGACCTTGACATTTGGACCCAAATTCTTATTTGCATCCAAGAGACATGAGCCCCTCAGAGAGTTTTCTCACTCCACTGTCACGGGGATGTCACTGCTGACTTCCATGTTACCATGTCATACTTGACTCTTTTTGCTTCTTTGTTTATGTGTGCCAGTATTTTGTTTGTATATACAGCACATATATGCTTAGGGGAGGTCAGAAAGAGGGTACTAGAACCTCTAAAACTGGAGGTACAGATGGTTGTGTGTAGTGGTATTTGCTCTGCCCATGATCTTGAGCTATATGGCCTGAAGGAGGTGGTACTTCTTGCCTGAGGATGTGACCTCCTAACAGGCAAGTTAGAGGGGTTACCATCTTTTCTTGGTGTGAAAGGAGACCAGATAGCCAGGTACATTAGCTCCTGGAGGAACAAAGAAGATTTCAGCTGTTTACTCGGTCTGTATTTTGTGAGTGTATTTCCCCAACTTATATCTTAATAAATTCCCTGATACTCTTTAAGCAGAATCTCGTGGATTTCTCAAATAAGTTGTGAGCTGCCATGTGTGTGCTGGGAACCAAACTGGGTCTTCTGCAAGGACAGCAAATCTTGTGTTTCTCAGAGCTAACCCTCCTGCCCCCATTACTGATGACTCTTTATTACATCAGAGGTTCTGGGTGACTTTCTCAGGCATTACACAGTAAAGAAGGGAGGACTGTGATTGCCCCAAGGTAGCTGAGGAAGGAAGAGGAATGTGACTCAAACATGGTCTCATGAGTGTCAGGGCTCAGGGTTTGGGTTGTAAAGGAGGAATCAGAATGAGAACTCAAGTCCCTGACCTGTGTCTCAGGTGACCAGGTCCCACCTCCCCTGCTCTGAGCTGCTCTTATTCCCAATTAGTCTAGAGAAGGGAACAGGTCACCACTCCTCCTCCTGTGGGTTGTTTCCTCCTGCTCTGCCCCCAAGGGTCTCACTGAAGTGCTCTTGTTGACATCATCCAGGGATCATCTTAGCATCTCTACTGGGAACAGAAATGGTCCTTTCCCAGCTCCCCTGGGGAGGCTCAGAGAGGAGTCCGGGTCATAAAACCTCAGCCTTTGGTCCCATTGGGAAGATGTGAAGATGTTTGAGTTGGCCTTTGTTAAGCAGGATTTTATAGATGCCATCTTCAGGAGTCAGGGCTGGGCTACTTGCAGAGGAAGCAGGAGATTCAGTCCTCAAACTCTACAGCGCATTGGAATTTTTCTGGAGATTGAGCTGCCTAGAATCCCAGGTCTCTGGACTCAATCGTTTTATGGGGCTTCCTCATACGAGCAAGAAACAGCCACTCAGTGACACATCCCCTGGATTTAAAGTGGTAAGATGGTCACTGGTGTTTGGCTTGTATTTGTGGTTCAGGCATCTGTGGGTCTAGAGGTAATAATTAGTCAAGCCATCCATCTCAGGTCCTCTGTGCTACATCTCAAACTCCACAGACCTCTTCCCTCATTGCTTGCTCTTCTTTCCTCTCTTTCTCAATCTTGTGTTCTTACTTCCTTCTTCCTTTGTCCATTTATTAATTTAATAAATATTTACAGAGAGTTTTTCTGTTTCAAATTGAGACATAAAGAATATGGAGTCCTAAGCTAAAAGATCCCAAGTGAAGCAGAAAGCCATGTCCCTGAGAGAGCAGTGGTGGTCAATGTCTTTGAAGGAATCTTCCCACACCAGAGTCACAGCTTGATGCACTGTGTGGGCAGAGAAATCATGACTGTTTTCTTTTGGGTGCGGGTGGTTAATCTACTGTAGCCTAGCTTGGCCTTAATCTTGCTATACAGTAGAATATATCCTAGAACCCCTGATCTTAAACCTTCCAGATTCGGGCTTTTTAGTTTGGGGCAAACATATGTACCTTTTTCTGGCCTGCAACTCAATTCTGATGTCTTTATCGGGTGAGTCCTGGTCTAATAGAATTGGGTCACCATCCTGTTGGGACACTAAGCAAAATCAGAGACTACTGGGCTGGGAAAACATGACAGGCTGTGGATCACCAAATGGTGTCTCAATGCCATAGAAATCACACCTCAAATCCTCTCTCCTGGGATCATTCTACTTTCAGTACATCCCAGGGCCTCCCATATTCAGAGAGGAGGAGAAATCTCACCAGGAGAGCTGGCCTGTGGCTAGCCATCCAGCTCTGTCCTAGGAGGGCTCTGGCCTATGCTGAGTCTCAATAAGCTCAACTAGATGGACAATGTGTAGACTTTGCCTTCCTCACCTCCCCACTTCAGAGCCTGTGTGCCAGAAGCAGAGAAGGTGACTGAGAGCCCGGCTCTGAGGACACACCTCTCAACCCCCACTTCTCCCATGCTGAGCTTGCAATCTGAAACAAACCTCCCTCTCCAGGCCTTAGGTGCTCACCTGTAACACACAGGTAAAAAAAACTTCCTTCAGTGAACTGTTGTGATGTTAAACTAAAATTAGTGCAACAATAGTTTGAATGTACAATTGAGCCAATATTAGTTCTTTTTTATTATTGCAAAGATTAGGAAGACACCCATACACCCATACTCCTTCAGAGATAATTCTTCCTTAGTTGTATGTGGTTTCAGTTAACAAGAGAGAAACAATGGGTTTGCCCAAGTGTTTTTGGTATCAAAATTGATATCAGACCCTCCTAGGATTCTTCCAATTGCAGCCAGTCAGTGAACAAAAAATGCAGGGTGTATCCTACAAGTGTTAGGGAGGGAGGTTGTAGCACAACAGGGAAGGCTTCCTGGTCTATCTGAGTCCTGCTGTGGCCACCACTGGGCACCACAGTGAGCATGGTGGTCCCCCTCCATGATGAGAAGCTAGGGATTTCCTAATATAAGAGAGGCAGAGGCATGCAGAATCCTGGGAGTAAGCATGGGAATTTTGTTCATAGAGAGAGGAGATGGAAGAGACAGCTGTGTGCTGAGGCTCAGACTCCACAGAGCAGGAGGTTTAGGAATGGCCTGTGCACCCGCCTCAAATGACAGGGTTTGGGAGCTCTTAGAAGGCTTTCAGCAGGGACCAGTAGGAACAATATGAAGACTTTGAAAAAACCACTACAGGGCTCACATGAAGAACATGTTGA